TTCGATAGAGAATGTCGAGATACGCATTTCTAACCTTCAAATTTGGTACCCATTTTCGACTTTTTTCTAACCTACAAATTTGGTATCGATTTTCTGAAGTCGAAAATCGGTTTTTTCTCGTTACCACCATTCGATAGAGAATGTCGAGATACGCATTTCTAACCTTCAAATTTGGTACCCATTTTCGACTTTTCACTTCGAAGTCGAAAATCGGGTTTTTCTCGTCACTACCATACGATAGATTGTTTCTTTATAATAAACGTTTGGTTCCTTTTAACAAACGTTTGTTTCCTTTTTAATAAACGTTTGTTTCTTTTTAATAAACGTTTGTTTCCTTTTAATAAATGTTTGTTTTTTTTTAATAAACGTTTGTTTCTTTCTAATAAACGTTTGTTTCTTTTTAATAAACGTTTGTTTCTTTCTAATAAACGTTTGTTTCTTTCTAATAAACGTTTGTTTCTTTCTAATAAACGTTTGTTTCTTTCTAATAAACGTTTGTTTCTTTTTAATAAACGTTTGTTTCTTTTTACGTTTGTTTCTTTTTAATAAACGTTTGTTTCTTTTTAATAAACGTTTGTTTCTTTTTAATAAACGTTTGATTCTTTTTAATAAACGTTTGTTTCCTTTTAATAATCGTTTGTTTTTTTTAATAAACGTTTGTTTCTTTCTAATAAACGTTTGTTTCCTTTTAATAAACGTTTGTTTCCTTTTAATAAATGTTTGTTTCCTTTTAATAAACGTTTGTTTCTTTTTAATAAACGTTTGTTTCTTTTTAGTAAACGTTTGTTTCTTTTTAATAAACGTTTGTTTCTTTGATAAACGTAAAATATAGGACAATCCTTTTAAAAATCGATTAAATAAGACTCATTCGACGCGTTTTTGCATAAAACGAAAGAATTTCGCCGAAATAAGCGTCGCTCGGCCCACAAACCGAGATATTAAGCGATAAAGTTGACGACTGTTGAGGTTAGGAAATCTGTTATACCGACTACGGCTGCATTCGGAAACATCCCCCGATTACCCCCGTGTAGTGACCCGCTAATAAGAGTCTGGTCAACTTCTCCCTAGAGTCCTAGATATCAGAGAAGCGCAACCGGCTTAAGTCAGTATCGCAAAATTACTAAGAAAAGTATTAAAAATGGCGTCATTTGCAGACGAAATATGAAATCCACCAATCGTCTATTAGTCAGCCATTTTTAATACCACTGAATGAATGTCATGATTGGCTGACAGTCAGCTAATCAGGACGCGGAACATCGGTTGCGCTTCTCTGATAT